CTGGGAGGGCGGCTCTGTTCATTAAAGCCTTGAAACCTTGTGTGCAGTTAGGGTGGAAGAAACTTAAAGAAGGCCGGAGAATCTTACCAGCAGCTGTGCAGGAAATAGCTGCAAGCAGGGACCTCTGTCTGCCTCCTGATCTTGGCCCGGTATCATTCATCCTTCGTTTCTGCACCGTTCCTTTCGTTTATTCCTTCGCAGTTTAGGCTATTGCAAAGGGGCAGATTTTAAAACATTTCCTAGTCTGTCCTATGAAGAAATTGGAGTATCTCAGGCATAATCTGGCTCTGAGAGTCTATGAGACTCACAAAAGGACAAATCTTCTAGAGGGATCCTTTTATGTTATCTATCCTTCACTTTATTTTCTATTTTTTTAATTCAAGTATTTTGTAAATCAAGAGAAGACTTGCATCAAGGCCCTCTTGCTAAACCTTTTAAACTAAGAGGGCTAGCAGGAATCACTCCTCCAATCTAAGTGTGTCCTCTCCAGGTTTCCTCGCCACACCCATCCCCCCACTCCTCAAACCCCACTTTCTGGAGGAACTTTGGGGTGACGTTCACAAGAGTGCTTGCTCTGCTCTCAATGCAGCTTGGGAAGCTCTGGAGTGCTTTCACCCATAATTCTAGTGTTTTTTAACTGCCCAAATGCCAAGGGTACTTTCCACAATATTGTGTTGGTCTTGGCAGGAAAGCCTCAGGACTGGCATTGAGTTACTCATTTTACAGGTAATGAACGAGGCCAAGACTTTGAGAGGCAGAACTATTCACAGTAGCCAAGTTATGGAATCGGCTTAGATGCCCATCAAAGGATGTGGAAAGAAAACATGATGTGTCTATATAGGCACCATGAAGTATTGCTCAGCCATTTAAAAAAAGTGACGATGTGAGTGATCTGACAGTGACATGTCTGGCCAATTATCTCCCTGGTGGATTCAGCTGATCTAGCTGACTAGGTATCCTCCCTTAGCTCCAGGTGTTTCCATTCCACATTGATCCACTTGGTCAAAAAAGACAACCTTCCCCTGTAGAAGAGGACTGGATTGGTCTTCACTCAAGGTTGTATGAGTAGCTAAACTTCTCTGCTAGAGCCTCCAAACAAGCTCTCAAGAACACAGTCATGTCATAGGAAGGAAAATGGATGGCAGTAGATATCTGATCAGTGAAATTAACTAGACTCAGCAATTGTTTTCACCTGTATGTTAGATGTTGCACACAAAAGGGTCTTCAAAGCAGAAGGGAGGGTCTTAGGAAGGAGGAAGGGAGTCAGGGTGAGGAGAGATAAGAAAGGTGAACATATTCAAAGTACATCATATGCACCGTGTCATAGTTTCATTTCTGTTGATGTGATAAAATACCCTGACAAAGAGCAGCTTAGGGAAGGAAGGGGTTTATTTGGTTTACAATTCCAGGTTACAGTCCATCATTATGGGGAGGTCAAGGCAGGAACTTCAAACAGCAATTACATCACATCCACAGTCAAGGGCAGAGAAAACTGAATGCATACCTGCTCATTTGCTTCCTCGGCTTAATTTCTCCACTCATACAGGGTTCAGGACCCCCTGCCTACAACATGATTCCACCCACCCTGGACTGAGTCTTCCCACATCGAGTAAGACAGCCCCCCACAGACATGCCGACTGGCCAACCCAATATAGACAATCCCTCACCGCTACACTCTTCCCATGTGATTCTAGGTTGCATCCAGTTGACAGTTATAGCTAAGCATCACAGCATTATGAAAACGACACAATGAAACCCATTATTTTTGTACAATGAATATTTGCTAAGTGAAAAAGAAACTTGCCCAAGGCAAAATGGGATTCACATGCAGCTTCCTTTAATGCAAAGCCCCAGATTCTTTCCAACTGCCTCTCCCTAGGTTTTAAGGAAGTTCATCTCTAACACATGCACTTGATTCCTTCCCCTCCCCCCATTAAGTGAGAAAATGAGCGAAGATTGAAAAATCTATTAATTGGCTACTTGGCACTCTTTAGCTAAATGATCAGTGGGACCAGGGGCAGTAACAAAGACAGTAACTAATAAATAAACATTAGCTGTATGAAATAACATAAAAAGGATGTAAATGAGGCACCGTAATGCCAACGAATGTGCCACTTTGTTGGAAGGTTTCACAGAAGGCTATACGTGAGAACCTATGAGAAACCGCTATACTTTCCTTTAAATCTTGCTCTGAACCTGAAACTGTTAAAATGACTTTTTAAAAAGAAAAAGAAATGAAATAATGATGTATTCATTCAGTGCATGAATGAACCTTGAAAACACTATGTGAAATGAAAAAAGCAAAAACCCCCAAAAACAGTTAGAGAGGGCTATATATGTTCCATGATGCTATTTATTAGAGCCAGCCAACCCAGCTAGGTTCAGTGAGAGACCTCCAAAAGAAAAATGGGGAGTGATGGAGGAAGCCACCTGACCTTGACCTGACCTTGACCTCGGACCTTCAAACACATGCCCACATATGTGTATATGCACATATGTATGTTCATAGTCATATAAATGCGTGCAAAACACATACACAAAAGTTATCAATTCAGGGGAAATTTGAGGCCATCCAGGTTTAGAAATACTGATTAAATATTTTTACCCAAGAAAAAAATGAGGTAAAAAAGTCAAATCAAATAGAATAAAACACTTTTGAACTACAATGATCTGTTCCACATACATGCAGAACTATGAACTGAAAGTGGCTTTAAAAGGCAACTATGAGCCCAAATTTAGGGGACTGAGAGATGGCTCAGTGGTTAAGAGCACTTGCTGTTCTTTCAGGACCTAGACTTGGTTCCCAGCACCAGTTCCAGAGGATCTGATGCCTCTTCTGGCCTCCATGGGCCTTGTGCCAACATCGTGCAATTAGATGCATGCAGACAATACTTATACACATAAAATAAAAATAAATAACTTGTTAAAATAACCAAATATGATCCCAAATTTAAATTAGCCTTATCACTCATGGAATCCAAATTTCAAGGTAAAAGCAAGCCTCAACCCCCAACCTCGTACAAAACAGCTTTGAATAAAGGCTTCATGCGAGTACTTGCACAATGGTTTTTCAGTGAGATGCCCCTTTGCATCTGTTTATGAGGAGAAATCCCAAGTATATTTGCAGAAAACGGATTACTAGATTCAGTTTTGAAATCAGGGTCTTGGGAGCAGAAGAAAATAGAGGGTTTTCTGTTTTGTTTTTTCATTAGCAGAATATAACATTGTTCTTGGCTTAGAGATTTAGTTCTTTCTGCAAATCTGAAGACACATTTGTAGGAACAACCTGTACTATAAGAAGGGGTTTCATGGTACAGACACCAAATGCTGAAGCAGCTTGTGGGTGAACACCTGCAATGCTGGCTGAGGTATGCAGGGATCCTAGATAGGATGCTGATGAGGCTAGCAAGCACCTGGAACTCGTCCCCTGACAGTGATGGACCAGTCAGAAAACAGCAGCTCTGCTCCAAACCCTGACTTGAGATAGCCTGGGAAGATTAAGTGAACTTTTCACTCAGATGTGTTACTGCCTTTCAATGTTTCTCTACAAATGGCAGGGGAAAGCAATTATTCTAATGGAGGAATGCTCCTGGCCTTTCCCCTTTCCTGAAAAGAGGAATTTGATCTTTTCCTGATTGGTCTTCTGCCCACATTCCCTGTACGAGGCTGAGCCTTTGTCTCTGCATGTCCAGTCCCTAGACTTTTCAGATGTATATAATTGAAGAAAACAAAGGGAAATAATAATAATTTTAAAGAACTGGGAAAAGGAGAGAGGCTGAGATAGATATCTTATTGTCTACTTGATTGTATTTACAATCACCCAAGAGACACATCTTTGGGTGTGCCTTTGATGGAGCAAACAGGAAGGAAGACTCTCTGAATGTGGTCTATGGGCTGAGGGGAAAAGGAGAAAGCAAGCTGAGCACCAGCATTCATCTCTCTCCTGACTGTGGACACTGTGACCAGCTGCCTCACAGTCCCGCCTTCCTGCCACGATGGACTGTAGCTCTTCAAACCATGAGCCAAATAGAACCTTCTTCCCATAAATTGCTTTTTGTTAAGTATTTGGTTACAGTGATGATAGAAGTCACTAATACAGGTATATAAGCTATATTAATCTTTGTGGTGAAGATGAGTGAGAAAAAAATCATCCTATTATTCAAGGGATGTTGGTTAAGATATTTTGAGAGATGCAGAGGGATTCAGGAAGTAAGAGGGTTCATAGTCATGTGGCAGGGGAAGAGAATGAGAGAAAAGAGATTGAAAAGATTTTCTAAGAGTGTCTATTCTCTAATAAAATTTAGGGTTTTTTTTTTTTTTTAAAAAAAAAAGGTTATTATTGGCTGTTTGTTGGTATTGATTTGAAGATGACTCCTTTCAGAGACTGGACTGAATGGCACAATGAGGTAAATGGTTGCACAGATTAATGTTTTGAGTATCTACTTTTATATCCATTATTTCATATTATCCTTAAAACCATCCTTCCAAAGCCAGATACAATGTCACATGCTTATGTGACTATAATATCAACTACGTAGGCAACTGACGCAGGAAGATACTTGCTTAAGCTTGGGCAAGGTCAGCCTGGGCAGCGTAGTAAGACCTCATCTCCAAAAAAAAAAAAAAAAAAAATCCTGCAAGATAATTTTATGTCTATTTTATGGATGAAGAAATGAAAGCATAAAGAGGGTTTTGACCATTGCCTAGATTTGTGGAAAAAAACTTGAGTGTAGACTTT